TCTAACACATATCCACTGAACTATCCAGTTATTCTGCCAAGATCTTTCTGGCTCACTGAAGAGTAAATTAATCCTACCTAAGAGTGCTTCAGCAGGAGAGTAAGAGTGAGCACATACACATGACCATAGTCAGGTAGTAAGGTGCTTGCCAGGGGTATAAATAACGGATAAATAATTTGCTTTTGGGAGTCTTCAAGGATCTGCTTCTCTGGGTGCTTATGCACACATGGTGGAACAATGGCAGCAAGGGATTGAGCAAGAGAGCTTCTCCAGAGAAAAAACCCAAGTCCTAGGCAGGCTGCTCAGGGGCTCCACTGCGGTTTATTATGGCCTTCAGAGACCTGGGATATCTGGGACTGGTACCAGTTTCTGAAGCCAGCACCAATCAGAAAGTCTTTCGGTGGGAGCTGCTCCAGCAGATGTTAGGACACACTGTGGGCCACCAACACCACTTGGAAATGAAAGGCTATGACGAGTGAGTTTCTGGCACACTGACCAGATGATGTTACCAGGGCTCTCTCCTCCCCTTGCCCGTCCCCATTCCCGCAAATTTATTTAGGAAAGTTCAACAGCTCCAGTGGGAAAACAAAAAAGGTACAACATTATGGTGTAACAGATAATTCACTACTGACTGAAATCTCTTGCCTCCAGTCCAAACCATTACAGTGAACTGCAAACCCACATATTGTCGTCTTTGTGATTTCTCACAGTTGAGCCTTTCTTTTACCCTGTTTTTACATCTTTCCTTATTTCCACATATTGGTTTGATCTTTTCATTGATTGCCTCTCTCCATTTTTTCTGTGGTCTTTGGATATTCATTTTTCTATCCACTGTCACATCGATTATTTTGTTTCTGACTCTAATAAACATTCTACTTTCTTTCAATTTCTCTTTACATACTCCCTTTTTTTTTTAAAGAAGTTTTCTCCCTTTGTTGCCTGTCCTCTTCATTTGTTATGTTTCTGTGATTCTCTCCTATTATAAAACTGTAAAACTCTGTCCCTCTTCTCTCTCACTACAGGGCATGTAATTTCCATCAGCCACAGGTCTGCTGCTCTAATTTCCCCTTCTATCTCCTAACACCTCTACCTTCCTCTCACTCTCATGTATCACTCTCTCTTCCTTTTTTTGTTCCTAGTTCCATGTCTCTCCTCTGACTTTTCCATTGTACTCCTGACTTCTGCCCTCCCTGTTAGCAGAAACATTTACCTTCGGATGTAAGATCTTTATCCCACAGATCTTGGCTTCCTTCACCTCCTTGATGCTCTTTAGATCAAGCCCACAGCTACCTTCTTAGCCAGTTCAGGGATGTTTGTCATGCATTATCAATGCCAGCCTCTGCAGTAATGTACCTGAAACTGCTCCTGTGTTTCCCATCAGTTGCCCCAGTCGGATATGCACAAACCTGGGAAGCACCAAGGACTCCTGTTCATAAAGCAACTATCTATCTAAGGCCAAGGGTAGTCAGGTTTTCAGGCCATTTTCTGCCTGGACCTCTGCTGTAAATGCCTTTTCATTTGTTCAGTAACTAAAGATACAATATTCACAGCAGTCCTCGTAATGAGAAGTCTATAGGAATGATCTTTTGAAAGCTCTCCAACTCCTTCCCAGCATAAGCAAATAGAAAAGCTCTATTTGCAAGATCAGAAATAAAATGAAAATCTCACTTTGGCTGTCTAAAAATAAAGCCATATAAAGCAAAGGCCTTGCTGAAGAGTAAACTCTGAATACAATTTCCTTTGCCATAATAAATGTTTCAGATTCTGAAGTTGAATATGTAATTAATTCCACTGGTTAAGCTGCAGGAACTTTGGAGGAAGAGCTCTTCTTACAGACTTGAACTGCCTACTGCTCTCTCAGAAAAAAAGAAACAACCCCAAAACACACCACACACCCCCCAAAAAACCAAACCCAAACAAACCTGCTGAAGAAACACAGTCTGGGATGTTTTTTAAGCCCTTTTTTTTTTTGTTCATTACCAAGATCTGACTTTCTGCCTTCACTAGATCAACAACAGATTGTTTCTGTTGCCTTAATAGAAACCTGAAGCTCCAACCAGCTTTTAGAAGTTAACCTAGTGGGCCAGAGCCTTGGCTGCCATTCTGGCTGCTTCTGGTTACTTGGGAGGAATTTGGAGAATGTATGTAGTACTTAAATGGCAGCTCCAAATCACATCTTTGTTTCAGCTAAACAGTGAACTACATTTAAGAAATGACTGTTGTAACATGGAAAAAACCCTCTGAACTGCAGTGTTTCCAAGCTATTCTTGTTTCCCTAGTATCTCTCCTTATGGAGATTCTCCAAGTACTATGATACTGATCTTGTAAACAATTATTGTCTTTCCTTAGCTCCTGTAATAAAATTCATGCTTGATATTTGTTTTTTTTTAATCTCAGTGTGCATCTTGCATCCTTCTGTCATTAAAATACCACAAACCCAAAATTTTTTTCACTAAATAATAACTTTATGACACAGCATAAACAGATACTTTGGCCAAATGCTTGTTTTCAGAATATACTATTAGGAAAAAATTACATAGGACAAGAAGGGTATGTTTAATTTTTTTAATGTCTAAGTATATGTAGATAAGGAACCTGGCAGAGATGCCCCTGTAAATACTCAAAATCATCAGATGTCTCTAGGGTTTCAGTACTGCTGATAGTGTTATTTATGCAGATACATACAAAATTATGCACAACTTGCAAGTTAACATTTTTGTTAAAGGGAACTAAAAAGTCTGTCACCCTTCTGAATACTTTTTAAGGTACCTTTCCTTCACTGATCTGCGAAGAGATTCATTCTTGCTTCAGTGTAAATTTGCTGGTCTAAATTGAAACATTCTCCAGTCTTTTTGTACGTCTGCACATAACGTTTCCCCAGAGAGGAGCTTACAGTGTAAATGCTTTGTATTTGCTCACAGTTCTCAAATACTTCCTTTGCTGCTGCCTCTGTGCCATGAATTTAGTGTCTTTGTACAAGGTACAGCTGCATCACCCAGAATAAAATTACCCTAGTAGATGGACTTACATGTCCGCATTGCACACACACACACAGGCATTCACGCTCCTTTAGGGAAGAGTTGGCAGGTTTTAACTCTTCCTACAACACTGCAGCTCTGGATCTTTGTTCTAGAAACTCTGGAGCATTAAAGAAATGTTTGTGGAGGTATTTCATATGTGTGTCTTCTTGCATATCAAAATAGGATTTAGATGTTTTAGACCTCAGCTACACACTGCCTTTTATAGTGAAGCTCTACTTGCAGTACAAACTGACACATCCAATGATTTAAATGCTTAAAGCACTGTGCAGATGTTAATTTAACTCATTACTTCTTTCACCACCACTTAGCAGAAAGGAGTAACAACAAAGTGATACAGCTTGCCTAAGGTAAACAGCCACTGGCAAAGCCTAGATGAGAAGCAAGAATGAAGTTACAAAGGCTTTGGTGATGCATATACATTTAAAAAGATTCTTAAAGGAAAAATATCAAAGTTTCAAATGGCATGTTTTGGTTCTAGTTCCAATAACTAGCATTTCTGCATTGGCCACTATTACTCCAGCTTTAAATACTTTAGAAAAGGAAATATGAGAGATAAACCAAATCTAAACACGTGTTTTCCACTTGCCCCCCAAATTCCAGTACACAAATGCTGTACTTATTCCAACAGCATTTTTAGTGTTGCTTTCAGAATTAAAACAATTCCAAACACTTGGAAATCAAACACATTTGCAGTGTGTCACAGAATTCTCTCCTGACTTCCAGTACAGCTCAGGTGACCTGGTGACCCCTCATTTTGTGTCCATTTGTGGTCTCTGATGATGTGGTTGCATGGTATCTGAGCTGAGAAGCTTGCCCTTATTTGGGACAGGATTTACACCAAGGTATAACAATCCAGGCAGATGTTTACTATCACATTGTATCTTCATCACAAAAGCTTTTTGCTTTGTGCTCTCAACCCTCTCCGTCTATCTGTGCAGCAACTATAGTGTTATTTTCACTTCCGGGTGCTGCTGGGATTGGTGTGCATGGTGCTCCCTTCGCAGCACATCAACATCTCCTTAGCGTCCCTACATCTCAATGCCTTGGCCAAGATCTGCCCACGTCTTCACGTCCCTACAAGCTGGTACTGCCTTCCAGTGACCTCCACTGTCAGTGATTCTCCTCTAGCTGCTTCTGCTCTTCATCTCTCAGAACGGATCCCATCAGGGTGATGCAAAGTGATGGCTAGTTTAAGGAAGTCAACCACGGGTGCACGGATAAGGCCTTCATTCAGTTCTAAAACAGCTTACTCGTTTAACAGTGTGTTACGCTTAATCTGTGCCTAAGGAAGTAGTTGACTGCAATGAAGCCATTTACGCCATGGCAGACGGCTGTTGAAGAGCGGGCAGATTCTGCTACGCTTAGTGCTAAACACGGCTGTTGCTCCGTCCCAGCGTGCCGCCCGCTGCGCGGGAACCGCCGCCTCAGGCAACCGTCCCCTGAGGGAGAGCCGCTCCCGCGCTGAACTCTTGCCGCCTAAGCGCGGCGGCGCGGCCTCGCCCGCAACAGCTCTCGCCCCAGCCCTGGCGAGGAAAAGTGATGCAGCGCGAGCGCTCGGTGGGCAGTCGAACCCAGGCCACCTACAGAACCGCTACACCGCCTCATCCTCTACCCCGCGCACGCGCGCTGCCCCCCTCCCCCCCTACCCCTGCGGCCAGGGGGCTGTGACGCGATGGGGCGTGGTGCAAATAGCTTCTTGCGGCGGCCTTCCGCACCCCGCCTCCACGGCCGCGCGGTTCCCTCGCGCCGCACGAGCGTGTGCACGAGTGGCGGCTGTTGCCTCAACCTATTCTTCCCCCCCCTCCCCAGCTTTCCTCGGGTGGTGTGTGATGTCAGGCGGCCGCCGAGGCGCGGACTGCAGGTGCATCCGTTTCCTCGGCCAGGGGCGCTTCCCGCCGCCGCCGTCCTAGGGGCGCAGCGTCCAGTCCCGCTCCAGTCCCCTCACGCAGTGTGCGACTCGCCCACCGCAGCGTCCCCGACGGGTATGGGAAAAAAGCCGCGACGGGGCGGCCGCGGCCTGCGTCGCTAGGGGGAGGCACGGCACCGGCAGACCGGCATGAGGAGCGGCGGCTCCGCGAGAGGGCGGTCGCCGAGGGGGTTGGTGGTGGAAGGAGCGGAAGGCAGAGGCACCCCTCAGCCGGCGGCGCCGAGCCCCCCGTCCCGGTTTTACTTTCCGTTTGGGGGCCACCTTCCCCGGCGGGCTTGAGGGAGAGGTTTATTGGTGTGCCTGTGTCTGTCCCCAGAGGGCGCGGGGAGGACGCGCCAGCTGGCGGACAGGAGGGCGCGGAGACAGCCCTGTCACGGGAGGAGGAGGAGGTGGCTACGAAAAGGAGGAGGAGAAGCCGGCGCGGAGCCTCGCCTTTCTTCGCCTCGTAGCCTCTTCGCTGTTGCCACTTCGTCGTCCCTGGCCGCCGGAAAGACCGGCGGCCGCCCGTCCTCATGATGGCCTCAACCGCCACTTGCACCCGGTTCAGTGACGAATACCAGCTCTTCGAGGAGCTCGGGAAGTAAGGACGGAACCCGCCGGCCAAGTCGCGCCGCTGTCGGGACGGCGTGAGGCAGCCTGCTCGGGGCGGGGCGGGACGGGGGGGAAGGCGCGGCGGCTTCGGCTGTGAGGCCCCGGTGCGTGAGCCAGGCTCGGGGGATATCGCTGCCGGGAGACGCCTTACTGGTGCTGAAAGCCGGTCGGGGTGCCCCTCTGTTGGGCCACACCACGGGGAGCGCCTTATGCGCCAGCCTTTACACACACCCTCTTTCCCTCTCCCCCCAAACAGCGCCCAGGCTTTATGTGTCCGGGATGGGGGGCCCGGGCGGTTAGGGGCTCCCCCTGGCGTCTGGGCTAGAGGGGAAAGGGTCGGATGCTTTCTTAGTCGCGATCGCCATGTTGGCGGCCCGGCGGGAGCGGGCGGGAGGGCGGCGGTGTCACCGGGGATAAGGTATTGGGGGAAACGGTGCCGGGGCTGCCGCTGCTCAGTCCCCTTGGTGTGTACCGGTCTGGAGGTAGCGAAAAGATACCTTGCTCCCTGCCCAGCAAGCAGCCGTGGGTGGGTTCGGTCTTACGGCTTGCGCTAACCTTTCTGACGGGCGTAATCTTAAGTCTGAAAACATGGATTTTTTTAATTATATTATTTTTTTAAATTTTGCCGACATCACACCTCACGCTGAAAGCCTTTAAAACCCTCGCACCGGTAATGGCAGTGAACCAGTTCAGTTAGACTGACACTTTTGACCACTTCTTGATTTCCAGAGGGGCATTCTCCGTCGTGAGGAGGTGTATGAAAATCACTACAGGACAAGAGTACGCAGCCAAAATTATCAACACCAAAAAGCTTTCAGCTAGGGGTGGGTATATTTTAATCTAGTGTTTACAGTGTCTTCTCCCCTTTTTTTGCATTCTTGTGGCAGGCATTAAAAAAAGTAATAAAAATGGCTAAAGGATTTAATAAATTCCTTAATGCATTTTTATTCTCTTGGTTTTGTTTGGGTTTTGTTTGGTTGGTTTTTTTCCTTTTTTTTTTTTTTTTTCTGTGTTAAATGTTTCGTGGATTGTGTGGAGGTTTGAGGCAGTTGTAAAGTATTTCAAGGAAAGATGTACAGGTACTAAAAGAATTTCACATTCTTTGTTTTTTGTTCCTCTAAATAACACTGAATATCAGTTTGCAAGCATTCTGCAAGCTGATTTTTTTCTTTTTTAAGGTTGGGAAATAATGTTTCCACCATAGCTTTTATTTAAAATATTATACAGTTACTGAATTGTGTGTTGCTGTTACATTTAAACATGAAGAAGGCCTATCTAAGAGTACATGCGATAAAGTGTACTTTTACCTCATGCTAAACTTCATTATGAGAAGAAAATTTATGTTAAGGAAAGAAATTACAATTTTATGAACCAGCCAATTGTGAAGCAAGTCATTCTGATGAAGTGATGAACTGTTTTGCTGTTACAAGCCAGCAGTAACATGTGCTGTACAGCTTGTTAATATTGTCTATGTGATGTGTGTATTTCCTGGATAATTCAGTCTCGGGGGGGGGGGTTGAGGGGGATAGGATACATTTAAGGTAAACATACACATGACAGCAAGCCTTAATGGTGATCTGTCAAGTGCTTGTTAAGGCCAAGTCAGGGAGCATCTCTGAGGATATTGGGGATTATGGATTGTTCTCCGTTAACATTATCTGTGTTTTGATGTGAATTTGTGGTGTGGTGAAGAATGTGGGAGTGAATGAGCATATAGTGCCAGAGTGTAAACCTGCTTTGCTTCTGATGCAGAGGAACTGCTGCAGGTAAATGGCAGTTTGAATTAATACATTTAAACATAAAATAATACATATGATGTAGTAGCATGCTCTGGGAATATGCTGCTCATAAAGGTGTTATAACATTGTGGCATACTCTTATTTTCAGCTGATGAAAGTTGTGTGAAAATGTAATTTTTACCTTTTGTTGAATTTTAGTCTTTGTACTCTCAACTGCAAGATTTGTTTTCCTTTATTTTTCAAAAGGTACTTAAATTTAAAATACTTCTTTGCAGAGTTATGGATTTAAAGGCAGAGGGGCTAAGAAAATGGTAATACACAGATAAAATATTTCCACAAGTTTGCTAAAACCAGATCTTCCTTTTTTCTTTTGTTAGCGCAAAAATGTGGTCTGTTGAATCTTGATGTTTAACATAAACCACCACATTCTGTGTGATTTCATAGGTCTTTGTACCTTTTGACATGAGAAGCTGTAGGGAGATCAGCACCAGGTCACTTCTGTGCTGTGGGTTTTATGTCTGATGGGATAAGTCTTGAAATGTAATAATTTGATAAGTATACTATATGTTTCAAGCTTTAATTTTTGTACTACTTTGTGCAGACAGGACCAGGTTGGTCCTTGGTGTAGTCCATCAGTGAGTGGAAGTGTATTTAGGAAAAGTTGGCTTTTAAGATGGCATGAGGCAAGACATTACAGAGATTTTTGTACGGGTTTTGCACGTAATCACTTAAAGGAAGGGGTTACACTTTAAAGCTGGACCATGATGTACTCCTTATCAGAACATGTATGATACCACATCCATGAAGGGAGTGTGTTTCCATCTCTGTTTTCAGAGATCCCATAAATCTGAGGTTTTTTATTTGTTTGGGGTCTTTTTGTGGTGGTTGTTTCATTTTTTTTACTTTTTGAAATCTACTAGACAGCTGTTGAAGAGCAAGGTTCATGGAGAAATCATCAGATTTTTATTAGGCAGTTCTTTAATAGCAGAAATTGCACTTGTGGTGCAAAACTTAAGCATTAAAAGGCTTCAAACTGTGATGCTTTTTCCTGACTGGTAATAGCTATACAGCCTTTAACTATGATACTGGTCTCCAAATCTGAATTACAAGTTCCATTGTACTTGCATCTGATTACGATGAGGTACCAGTTCACTTTTGTGTTTTGTACTTACTTGAGATACCAGTTATAATGTCAACCTAAAGGAGTGTTTATTTCGCCTCAACTGTGAACAGTTAGGAGGTTCTTGGCTTCAAAATGCCTGTCCCTTGTACAGTACCTGACTCTCTGGAAGTCTTAATCACAGTGTTGAATTTGGGCCTTCTTGCTTGCAAGATTGAAGAACAGGAAGTTAAGTGTGTAACATGGAGAAGTCAAGACTCTAAAGACCAAATAAAACTTCGTTAGTGTAGCTTTGAAAGTAAGAGTTGTTTAGGTGGTTTCAGCACAGTCATGACAGTCCTTCTCTCTCCATCCCTCCCTCACCTCACTCCTTGGAGATTTATCCAAGTGCTTACTTTAGTAGTCCTTCTGAATTGTCTGTTCCCATTTATAGTTACAGGGAAATTTCAGAATAAGTGTCTGTGTGCAGACACACAGGCTTTGGTTTTGAGGGGAAAAGAAGATACGCCCCTGCTCTAGCAGAAGTAACATTTGTGTTTCTAAGTTGATCAGTTGTTTATATCTACCGTGCTCTTATTTACAAATTGTAGTCAAGAATGTTATGAACTGTTTGTTATAAATGTTTAAAGTTTTAAATACCTTAGGTGGCAATTCCTACTCCATGCTTTTCTGATTATAATAATTGAAATAATAAATGTCATTTAAATCTCTTCATGTCAGTATGCGACCTTTTTATGGGGGGGAGGGAAGGAACATACCCCTCTAGAGGTGTGTACAACGGTGAACAAGCATGCAGAAAACTAAGCATAAAATGAAGAATGTATGTTTACTAGTTCTTGGTTCTGTATCATTTCATCTGATGAGGTTTTTGGGAGTTTCTTACTACTGTTCATCAAGTATGCTCTTTTGAGTTCCTCTGTCTTGTTTTTCTTGCAGTTGAAAACAGTGTAGATAAAAGTGAACTTCTGTGAGCTGGCTTTTCCCTTGTCTGTTCTAAATACCAAATAATTAACAAATCATCTTTTTATCATTATCTGTACATCTTTTATCTTCTCTTTTGAGATGCTTTTGGCTTTGATCCAGATGGATTTCATACAAACAGATCTAATTTTCTTAAGAGGTTTGGTCCTCATTTTCTGACTAAAAAAAAAAAAAAAAATAGATGAGTGTTTGCTTTTCTGATAATTCTTGAAAAGATCAGTTACTAATAAGCTTTCACTGGATTTAATTTTTGGCAGTAACTCATACTGACATTTTCTCTGTAGTGGCTGAAACCACTGTGCCTTTGATAGTAGTTTGATGGCATCTGTGAGAGGAGGATGATGTTCCAGTCCATTTTCTTTTCAAAGGCTGTTGTAAACAATGCCTACACACACCTCTCCTGGCCCATAGATAGCTGCAGCAGAAATATGAACTGATTTGTTCATTGACATGAGTAGTGTTAAGAGTAATGTAAGAATCAGCTGGAGGTCTCCACTTCTTTGTGAAAAAGCTCTTGTGAGCTTTCAGGGACGAGCCGTTCCATTAGCTTCAGCGAGCTTCTGAGCTTTAAGCCTTGAAGGCTTCACTGGTTATTTATTTTCCTTCTTAGAAGGAAATTTCCCTAACCATTTTTCATCATCTTCCTATTCTTCAAACAAGAGAGGGTTTCCTCTGAGCTTGTGACTGCTGATGCAGTGCATAGCCAGAGGTGACTACAGTGATTGTGCTTCTCTTAAACAAGCTCTGATGGGTGAGGAGGCTGGAAACCCCACCCTTTTAGAACTGTGTTTTAGTGGCATTATTGAGTAGTCTTGCTGTGGGAAGGGTATTTCAGTATCTAAAGTTGTCCAAGTAGAGCATTTCATGATCCCTAAAGTGATTTAAAATGCATTAGGGAAATGAATGACATGTGAAGCATATAGGGTAGTATTTTTCAGTGCTGTGTTTCATGACACAGAGGTAAGTGTTTCTATTGTGTCACTAGACCGTTTAGTCAAGTAGCTGGTGTCAGCCCGTGCCAGATCTGTTACAGGAAGACAAGCTCTAATAAGGCTTTCAGCACTCCACAGGAGGAGAAAATAGTTCTTCCTAATCTAGCTAAAGATCTTAATCTCTGAAGCACACATATACCTGTGCAAGTACACTTTTAATGCTAATTTCTGGTCTTACATACATGTAAAGTTATTCCCACAAGTAGAGTACTATCCTTAAAGGCATTTAGATGCCAGCAAAGCAGACTTTGTCTATGGGAAGACAAGAATTAAGCTTGGGTTTTTAGCTGTTTTCAGTATCTAGCTTTGGTCTATTTCTCAGGTTAATCACCTGTCAGAAGCAGTATGTTTACCTTTCTCCATGTGATAAGAATGTTTATTAAAATATTTTCCTGTAGTAAGGAGGCTTACCTTCTAAGGGTGTGGTTGCCCTTTTTTAATGCTTACGCTCCTGTCTTCAGCTTAGTCATGGCATACTTTTTGGTTAGATGTAAATGTGATTTAACGTGGATGATTTATCTGCATATTTATCTGCAAGTATTTGTTTCAGTTGCAAATTGCCATAAGTTTTGAATCTACCACTTCTGTCTGTTCAAATTGAGTCCATTCAGAAAGCTCAGAGCAGTAGAGAGCACTCATACAATGGTTATTAAAAAAGAACAAATATTTGGTTAGGTGTTTTTGTTTTGAAGTTGTTCAGCTTTTGGTTTGATTTGACATTTTTTACCAGTGAGAATGAAAACTTTGAAACTTATTGTGATGAACATTGGTTGGTAGTAATTTCTTCTCAATTTAAATGAGATTTTATATAAATTTTCCTGGCAGTTCATAATTAAATTACCTATAGCAAATATTATATAATTTTGAGAATCATAGAATCATGAATAATTGGAGTTGGAGAGGACCTTAAGATCATCTTATTCCAGTCCCCTGGGCAGGGACGCCTCATACTATACCATGTTGTCTAAGGCTCTGTCCAAACTGGGCTTGAA